AAAAGAAACTCAAGACTACCAGCTATTCTCCATCCCAGAAGCTCTTCGGTCGAGACCTTCGTCTGCCTTGTGACCGCCTGTTTAGTCGCCCTACGGATGCGCCTTCATCGCCTGAGGAACACATCCAAGATGCCCAGGCCCGGTTTGAGGGGATGCACCGTTCTGCACGAAAGCGAGTCAACTTGGCGACGGAGAAAATGAAGACCAGATGCGACACAAGAGCTACTAGACAGAGATCCAACAAAGGAGACAAGGTGTGGTTGTGGAACCCAATTCAACGAAAAGGACGGAGTCCTAAATTACAGTCACCTTCGGATGGTCCATATACAGTGCTGAACACGAATGACGTCGTGGTTCGGATCCGTGAGTCTTCGAACTCTTACGACAGGTGAGCTCATTACTATGGCCATAGTACATAATGTAAATAATTGTAAATAGTATAAGACCATGGTCCATTTTGTTTTTAAATGTGTGTATTTGATTTGTATTTGATAGCATTTGATTTGTTTTTTTTTTTTTTTTTTGTATTGCATTTATTGTTCATGTTGTTTATTATTGTAATGAAATGCTTATTAATGCATTTATGCCACAGTTGTAAGTTTAGCTTCCTGTCCAGGGATTGTACTGCCCGGGACGTGCAGTCCTTGGGAAGGGGGCAGTGTTACGAATTTGGTATTTAAAAAGCTAATGTTAGTTCAATTATAAATTAAATGGTTTTATTTCTCGCGCAGTGCAGCGCGTGACGAATATTAAAAGAAAGCTAAGCCGGAAAATTGAAAATACAAGAGCGCGTGCATTAAATAAATAAATATCTCTTTTTGATTTCGAGAAAGTGCTGGAAAATTCTAGCGCGTGATTTATAAAATCTTATAAAAGGAGGAAAACATCTCAGTTTGTAGGAGTTGCTTAGTTTGTTGTTGCTTAGAAAACTGCTCTTGTTGATTGTAGCGAATTCGCGGATTAGCGTTCTTTAGCTGTTTTGAATTACGTTCTATTGGATATTTGAGTAGTTAAAAGATAACTACTGTGAGATATTGTAATTTTGCATGATAATTTGAGAAAATTTAAGCATTTTTGTTGTGATAATAATAAATTTTTGTTCATTTTTCATCGGACTTGTGCATTCATTTCATAACGAACTCGCACGCACGCAACAGTAGGAAGGATGTGGTAAAATCAAGGACGAGCTTTCTCGTATTCGAGAATAACACGTAGGGCTGCTATAAAATAATGTGCAAGCCCATATCATCATTTCAGCTGTGTAGGTTGGGCGTTTAGCTTTCAGTAATGATATCTGTTCCCTAAAAAAATTTAATCGGTAAATCATAATCTGTTCTGATGTATTTTTAGAACACTTCTGAAGAGTTTCAGTTACCAAATCCAGCATTTCTTCGACTGTTTTTGAGGTTTTCTCATAATTGTACAGATGATTTGAAAGGTTTTCAAATTTTGACCATTTATTACATAATAGATCTTTTCCCAAAAGCCATTCAAACATACTTGTTATGTTTAAACCTTCACGAAAAACTGAAACAGTTAAATCATGCTCGACTTTAAATGACACAGTGACTGATGGACAATCTTCCATCTCAATACGCAAAAAAAGTATATAATCACATGCTTTCATTATTGCCCATGTATTTGGTAATTTATTGCTGTAAAGTTTCAAAAATTCTGAAAAGGAGGCAATGCAATTTTGTCTGCAGCACACAGTTTTTTTAAATTATTTTCACGCCGTTCGTTTATTTCTCTTGTCCTGTCTTCTGGTGTCTTTCGCTTTTGTGGTAAAGGACAAGATAAATATTTAGGTTGACCGTAAAAAATAGTAGGATCTGCATCTTTCGATAAAACTGGCACTTTTCTTTGAACTGTTAATACTGTCCCATCAGGTCGTGTTGCTCTATCGTCTCTTATGATGAAACGCTCATCAAAATGCAAAATGCATACACAAGCACATGATCCCGGTACAAAGTCTTTCCTATTAATTTTACTAATCCATGTTTTACACAGCATATCATCTTTGGGGAACTTAAAAGTTGTAATATGATCTTCGTTTGCATAGTAATTTATTTGACTTGCATCCCGGAACGCTACATTTTCGCGGCATCTGTAAAAATTCAATTAACACTGTATGATGCATCTTAATAAAATAATAACTACAGGAATTACAGTGAATTGTTTAATGCTTTATAATAAATATACTGTAGAATATAATTATTAATACACTCCTATTAAAGCTTAGTGACTGTACAAAATATATGTACAAACTCGAACTCAATATTTTTTAACTTTCAAGAATTTTTTTTAATACTATTATTCTTGTCTAATTTAGAAGAAGGAATCATTCCAATAAAGCATTACGAGATTCGTGTTTGATACATAGTTTGAAAATGAAAGATACAAGAGAAATTTACTAGATTGTTATATAATATCTAACATAAATGTTATGGCGTATGTAATAAATATGTATTAGACCATGAATGAAAATGGGGGGGATCTCTTTAGCTTTCATTTATCATAAAAGTGTTTATTTCGAATCATTATCTAACTTTAAAAAGTACAGGTCAAACAGAATTAATTAAAAGAAAAAATTAAAGTGAGCTGGTAAATATACTTAACTTTCGATACATCTTGCTAAAAGTTAAATTTACTACAGTTAATGCTACATACCTTCTAGATTTTAATCGTACGTACGCTCTGCTTACACTCACACTGTTTTGGAGAGGGCCTTACTACCATTGCCCTCGCTCGTGACGTCACAGCAGGGAAGAACCCCTTTGGATTGGGCCTTCTCTTCAAGATGGCCTTGGATCGACCGAGTCTCGAGCTGTATTTAATGTTTTGTTGGGAAGCTTTCTTCGGCATTGTATCCTGAAGGCTGTACTGCTGATTGTTTCAGCGTGGTTTTCATAGTTTTTTGACGATTGTAAATGTGTTTTTGGAACTGTCCTGAGTAATACTGGCAAATAAATTGTGTTTTGATACTTCAACAAGTGTTGTCGTCAATCACTGCAAATCCACGAACCCGTAGAACGCAACAATATTATTGACTTTCCTCTTTATTTGAATTGAATATCAGTCATTTTTAATCACGATTGTACGTGGAGCTTTAAAGCAATGATTTTAGAGTTTTAGAAATTAAAAAAATTAAAAAAACAATTTTGTGAGTAAATATGCTGAACATCTTAAGTATTCTCAATGTACAAGATAAAGTGGGGGTGGACGGAATTTATTAAATGGCAACAGTCATCTTGAAGAAGCTGCAAATATGCTTTATCGCAATTTATTTTCGATGCATCATGAAGGTGTTCTACTGAGTATCTCCAGATACCTTTCGTCTCTTAATAATTCGTCAGCATCAATAGACTAACGTATGTCCAAGTGTCTTATCTAGCCTATAGATGTTTATAAGCTTAAGGGAAATATGTGTCAAAAAATAAAATTTTCTAGTGCTCTCGGATATAATAGTAAAACAGTGTAAACATACATTAATGGAAATGATTTCTAAGTAATAGCAATGTAAGATAACAAATACTCAAAGTTAATGGCTTTCTGCACCATATTGTCAAGAGTTTCTTCCTTTATAATGCTACAAGATATATGCTGGATTACTTCTAATGCCAGTTTCACTGAAAATCAGTTCTTCTTGTAGGTGATTTTATATGCCTGAACTCAAGCGTTCTGGATGATGTGATTTATCAGTCTAAGATGAGGAAAATGATGGCGAGATTTTAATTCCAAATCAAGTTCGAGCAGTCTACATGAGCTAGTGATGGTGAACAGATAACAAATAGAGAATGCATTACAAAAACAATAAAAAAAAATGCTGAAGACTTACACTTCTATTTCATCTAACTACTCTCTCAACATAATGATTTAATACATAAGTGATCAGAATTGCCAGAGTTTAAATGATAATAGCGAGATCATAGTTTGACAATAGGGCCTAAAATTATCGTTACGACTATCCGTCATCTTTTACTTCGCTTTGTCATAAAGTGTTGTCCTGTGAGTGAGCATATTATTTCAATAAAGCTGAGTATTTAAATAGACTCCGTTACGGCTATTCAGATAGCATTTACACAAAAAACACTGCCCTGTAGAAGGAAGAATGCTGTCCTTGTAGAAGGAAGAACCGCTTCAGTGTTGAATGGAATCATCCAAAGTACACGAAATTGACTACGGTATAAGCTGCGACTATGATCCTTCCAGCGCAAAGTACTTACCCGATCCTCAAGCACACGTGTACCAAAGTACACGAAATTGACTACGGTATAAGCTGCGACTATGATCCTTCCAGCGCAAAGTACTTACCCGATCCTCAAGGATGTATATTTTCACATCTATAAAATTCAAGTGGTCGAGTCGCTGAAGCAAATAGAAAATAGAAATTTTTCTGGAGGTATTTGAAAGATGCTGTACCTACAATGAAGCTAGACACATTCCATGGTCAAATTCTGAATAATGCAAGAGGCTAGAATTATTCCATAGGATATGTAGCAGCAGGTAATGGCCAGCTTCAGAAAGTTACTCTAACAATGTGTGAAATATAACAGACATCATTTAAAAAATAATTTTTTCAAGGAAAGAGAATGAACAGCATACATAGGCAGGCAGAAAAAAATCTCATTACTTCGTTTATAATTTAGTGGTATACCTTAATACCTGTTTATGAATTATTATACAATTAATAACAAAATATGCTAATATATGTGTAATTAATAACAGATAAACAGCTTCACTTTGATAGGTATGGGTGGCACAATCGGATCATTCGTGTAGCTAAACGCTCTAAAATTATTTAAACTTCGAGTTAGTTTGCTCAATAATTTTAGTACATTTAGTTACAGTGTTTTTTGACTCAAAGTTAAAAATATTGGTTTCATTATTACACGAGTATTAAATACAAGCTTTGTTCAGTAATAATAATCTATAAATCAATTCTAGAGTTTAAATTTTTAATGTTGTATATCAAATGTAAAAGCTACATATTTTTACAGGATTTGACGACGAAGTTTACAACAATGCTTCTTGTCTGCTAAGTACCGGTAGCGATGTAGAAAGTGCTGATGTTCCTTCAGCTATTCAGGTAGGCAAACTTATGATAGTTTCTTTCATGATATTTAACTGTTGGAGATAACACTGTAATAGTACAGAGTATTATTTCTGAGAGTGCTTAAATATCAAAGTGCAAAACATTTATTTTCTCAGAGTCTGGCCTTCCATATTTCTAAAGCAGTAAATATTCAGGAATTCAAGAGCATGCGTATTGAGGTAATGCCCGATTTTATGTCTCTTATTAAAATTTTAAGCTTTAGTTGAAATTTTTTCCTTAAAAATAACAACTTTAAAAATTTTTTTAAAAATATACTGAAGGGGCAAAAATGCTCGTCTACTTGCAGTTTCCTTCTTAACTGCATTTGATTTACAGTAGAAGTGAAACGAATCCTAAATTTTATCGAACCCCATCCGAAACTTAGAAGGTTCTTTAACCTATCGTTAAGTTTCGAATCCTTCATAAATAAATAAACTTATACTTAAGGTTAAAGGTTTTGTATTAGAAAAAATTGAAATTTGCATTAAATAGAAAACAACTTGAAAAATACAATTTTTTTAAATGTACATACATTTATTGAAAAGGTAAAAGGAATCTAAAGGTTCTTTTTCTCACAATACAATTACTCTAAATACATTTGAGTAACAATTCCAGTTGTTTTTTTTAAATTTCAGAATCATTTTTTTAAAAATCAAAACAAGTGTAGAAGGAACAACTATTCCAAGAAGTAAACACTAAATTTCTCTTCAAGAAATGAAAAATGTAGCCCTCACTCAGGAGCCGTTACGAAGTGATGTTAGTGATTATGCATATAACTGAAACTATAATAACTGAATTTTTTAATGATTGGACGACAATAAATCTAATTTTCACAAATTACTGAATTAAAACTTCTGAAAATTTTTACGTTAGAATTCGACAGACAGCAAATATGAAAAGAACCTCGAATTATTTTCAAGATTTACGGAAAACGAAGATTCGAAGGCTTCATTCTTAATTTATGATAAATAATGTCGTATACCTCTGTGAATTAAAAACACAAGGCAATTGTGTCTGAAAGAAAAAATCTGATGTGTACACCATATGACTTCCTTGTACAGAATATTAAATTATACGCAATTTTTTTTCATTTCGTTTAAACTCATTGGATTGAATTAAATCGACTTCGCCGGCATCGCATAAACCACAATAGAATAAATACATTCTTTAAAATTCATTCTAGTATTTATTTACCACAGCGACACTCTGGCGCTAGGTTCACTTAAGCAGTATTATATTTCGTTCATATTATACAACTCAGAATGCACAAAATTTATATCATTTAAAGAATTATCTAATCGTTGCCACATGTTCTATTCAAATACTAGCTAGAACGATGTATAAAAGAAATTAAGCAAACAAAACAAAAAAGAAACAGTTTTCACAGACGATTGAGTATTTCTCATTCAATTAATTCAGTTCTCACTTCGCGACAAGGCAGCAATACATAAAAACTCAAAATATCTGTGCTAAAAATTACGAAGTAAATCTTAAACACTTATTTCCTCGAAAAAATTCCAGAAAAGATTAAGAATGATTTAATTCGCAATGAATAAATGAAGGCGTTATCTTTGTTATTGCGAAGCTAAGTTTCTCTAGATTGGCAAAAAATCCGCTATCCTGCTGTTTCAAATGTAAACAAGCGCAATGGCCGCCATCAAAAAAAAAAAATATTAGACTTAGCGGCACTTAAACAACTTTATAATTGTTGATAATTCTAAAAAAAAATTGCATAATTCTAAAAAAAATTGCATACAGATTTACTAAAGGTATAAAAACCTTAACCGGAAGATAAGAAAAACATAATTCAATCATTTTTAAAGCAAAAAAGATACAATATACAAACATATAAGACTAAATAAACTGAGATCACTGAGTCGGGTAAACAGAGTGGATATATATATATATATAAATATATTTATATACGTTTGGTGCGGCCGATTGCAACCACAATACGAAGTGCACATTTACATGTTATAGCAGTCCCTATATACAATATTTTAATGTTCTGAGGCTACTCTTTTTTGAGTTATGCGAGATACGTACGTACGGACGCCACGGAAAATTCTATTCAGAATTCATTTTAAAGCAGTTTTATTATTTTTTTGGAGGAAAAGAGTTTTTTATTCTGTCCTTACGTACAGATATCACGCAAAAACATCGTTAAATTTCATTCGATAGCGGTCAAAATGGATATTTTCGTTGAAATATGCTACCTGAAACTTTTCGCGATTACAATACTTCCTTTTTACTTCCTACAAGGAAGTAAAAAGGCTCAGTAGTGCACTGCAATGATGATCGCCAAAATTTCATTTGCACCGGAATGTCTCTCAAAATGGGATAATCAGAATACGCATTTCTTCGTAATCACGATAGATAGTCCAGATAGTTCAGCTTGGTAAATAGTATAAGCTATGTTTTCTAACCACAACTACCGACTATATCCCGGGAGGTAAAGGAAGGGTGGCAATCTGTTAATGCAAGTCTGGAAGAGCGCATGTGCAAGAGCAGGATTTCATAGTAGGAGCATAGTTAGTAGTTTTTAATATAGACGTGGTTTTTGTATACATTACTTTGGTTTCAAATGTTACCTTGTAACTGACGTTACCTATTCAAATTCATTTACAGATATTAGAGATAGCAGATAAGATATAACAGTACAACTCTTAAAACATGTTACAGTTATTTACTATACTGTGCAACTGTTTATAGAATTCATTTAACAGAACATGTTATAAAAGGCATTTTGCTAATTACTATGCCAATTATATACTTGCTTACTCTTCAGTTCAATAATCTGAACATGAAAACTCACTTGTGTTCTCGACCAGATTCGAACCACGGATCTTCCTCATTCTAGTTGGACGTGGTAACCACATGAACCACGAGAGGGTAACGTGAAAATTCCTTGCATATGTGCAAATTGTTATAACATATTTTTTCTGTAAGACACTGGGTGGGTCATTATAACTAGTGTGGTGAGTTGTATTATTTCTCTTGAATCTGTTAAAATTTTGTCAAGTAAAATTTTCTTCATTTCTAAAATATTTTTCTGCTGAACTACGGTGTAAATGAATGATACAAATATTAAAAAAAAATAATATCAGAAGAAGAAATGTAATCATTCTGAAGAATTATTTTTTAAGAAAAATGAAATATTGCAATTGAAATATTACTACATCATTGTTATAAATTTGCGAGTGTTAATTATTTATTTTCCTATCATCTATAGGAGGCACTGAGTTGGCTGCAAGAAACAAATTCATCTGCTGGAAAAAAATTTAGAGAATTTTTGAAGAAACATGGACACAGATGCATAAAAGAAGTAAAATAACAAAAATATCTTTCCGGCGCAGTTTTTCTTAAAACCTTTATTGAAATAGATGACGTATAATTTTTTATTCATTTTTGTTTTACTCAAAGGTATTTGCAGAAAGATGAATTTTCATAGTGAAAATGCATTTTTAATGTGCTGGTTATCGTTATGTATAGGGAAAATGCCATTCACTATGATATTTCACACAGTAATTATTAAATATGCATTTATTGCAGTGAAAAGAAATATTCCGAATCCCAGAATGCTTGAAGTTTTCAGAAAACGGTTTCAAAACTATTATAAGAATTAAGACATTCAAAAACTCGTTAATATACGGTGGTAATATTAAATGAAAAATCTTTCCTTGCATACCAAAACTTCTAAATCCTGTTATAAATTGGCTGCATTTTTATAAATTTTATTACATTTTTATGAGCAAAATTTTATTTAGTATTACTTATTACGATATTCAAATTATGGAGTTGATTTCTGTATCACTAAGCGATGTGAGACAACCAAATACAGAATTATCTATCCATTCCATGTCCAAGTCCATTCCATGTGTCAAGTTCACCATGACTTTTTAATAAGCAGAAATGTTTCAGTGAAATGAAGTTTCTGCTGCACAACAGCTTCTAAAGTTTTACTTGGCTCTTGGTTTTCTCTATCATGGCAGGATCTATTACTAAGAGAGACCATGTAATTTCAATTTTGAGTCGATACCAGAGAAGGCTCAGTGCTACTATCAATGCATCTTTATGTTCGTATCTGTTAGTATTTGTTTGTTTTTGCCTGTATATGTATCTATTCTTGTATTTGTTTTGTATATTTTTATGTATCTGTGTTATTCCAACAGCCATGCACACCCACAAAGTTAGTGTCACGCAACCATTGTCAAACAATAATCCTCAGCCCCTGTTTGGCCATGTATTGATCTTTAGATCTGTATTATAAACTCCCGAGGCAGCCTTACGGGGCCCCAGGGAGTTGTTATTCCTAGATAGGGGAGGGCGTGGGACACACGCCTGTTTACCTATGTTAAACACCAGGCGTCCCCGTCCTCCGTCACCTGTCACCTGCTACTGTGGTGACAAACTGTGTGCTGTGGTATTTTCGATGCATAACCGCGAGATTACAGCAAACTATTTCTGAAATCTCGCGGTTATGCATCGAAAATACCACAGCATGCATGAAAAAAAGGCTCCAAACACAAGTATAATCAAAAAGTGGCATACAATGCCTCTAGAAGCAGAAAATATCACAGATCTAATGCGAAGTGTCTAGGCGAGGATAAGGGGGAGGACAAGGAGACAGTTGGCCTAACGAGGAAGAGCGTGCCAGGAAGAATTCGATTCCTCTAAGGTTCTTGCTCTTTCGTTTGCCACATTCCACACTGTTTAGGATCATTCTGGATTACGATCACTTGAAACCCTGCAAGCTGATGACTGCAAACCATCTGCGTGCATCATGTCATGCTATCACTTCACTTGGTCAACGGTTTCCTCACTTTTCTTCATCTGGCTATGTTGTAGTAAATACGCGACACTTCACGCCTCCAATAGCTTATCATGTCACTTTTTGATGCTTTTATTTTGATACATATTACTAGATTGACTCACTAATGCACGAGTTCAGGTCTGCATACCGCAGTATGCACTGCGCTTACTTTTACACCATCTTGGAATCACGTCTTCACTCTCAGTTAGGTAATCCTTTCAGCATGATACATTAGCAGGTAAAACTTTTAAGTCTGCTGCAGTACAATCATCGTTTCATCAAATTACCTTATATCATAAGGAAAGAAACTTTCGGAAAAAATTGCAATTTAAGAATTAGGTTAATTAAAAGAAAACTTGAAACAATTTCAGAAACAAAAAACGAGAGCCTTTTTAAAATGTTAATTGAACCTTTTGATTTAAAACTAAAAAGTGTATACGGAAGAAACAAAATTCGTCTACAGTGCCTTTTTAAGTTGTAGGGAATTTTGTGTTAATTAACCAGTTATTTACAGTTTCAGTCTTTACTATAACATCTCCTTTCCAAATTCCTCACTAGGAGGCAAATGTGTAGTGAGTAATTAAACTGAGGGTTTTTGAGATAGAGTACTTCTGACATCGCTTTGCTCTGTATGTGGCTAATTCCCTGCCAGCTGTCTTAATTGTAATTATTCGGTTGCTCTCTTGCTGCCGACACTTTAAGTCTAACACTACGGTGCCAATTATTGAGACAACTTATAGAAGTATCTTGACGTTCAACGTTTGACCTAGTTTGGACTGCTTTATTTTATTTTGCATCACCACGAATTGTGAAAATTGCAGCACAAGGGAGTGCCGTTATGTTCTAAACTCTGTTTAAATAAAAAGTTATTTTGACCTTCTCAAGACTTGCCATTTTTCTCAGACAGAGCAATAACTCGCTTCACATCTATTATTATTATTAGACTAAAATAGCATTACCAGATACGTGTAATCAAATAAAGTGTCTTTGAGAATGGTGTCACGAATGTGCGATTTACTACAAGATGCAATGGATTTCAACTAACCTGAGCGGCTAAAAAAATTTAAATTAGCTTTACATGGATTTAAAATTTAGTAATGCGGATAAACCAAAATTTGAATCCAATAAGTAAAAATGGTGTGTTCTAGGAAAATTTATTAAATGATATAGTCTTAAAGCTTCTTATAGTTTTTTCATTTTTTTTACCTTTGATAAATTTAGCTGTTAAAAACTTAAAGAAATGTTCGAGCGATCAACAATGTTTAATAATAGAAGATAATTGTATTCAACACGTGTATTCAAATAAATAAATAGCTGAAAGCTTCTGTTTTCTTTAGAAGCCTCCAATAGCTGTTTTAATTTATCAATTTTCATAACGATTTTAATTCTATAAGAATGTTTTCATATTTTTATTTCATAAATTTGCTTATAATTATTTGTTTTATATATTTCTCTTCTTTTAAATGGAACAAAATTGTTTTATTTATAACTGTATATATGGAAGTAGTTTGTATGAAGTGCTGGGTAAAGAACGAAATGTATTAACCATTTTAATTCATATTAACAACAATTATAGAGTGAGAATAACAATTATTAAAGGTACAGTCGTTATCATCTAAAACTAATGAATTTAATGAATATTTATCTCAATTAGTAAAATGAATCCATTTAAAAGGGCTTTATTGTAAACAAAATTAAATTGCAAAAAAAGGAAAATATGTCATGATTGTAAGATAGCATGTAAAAGTACGAATAAATGATATTTTCTTTGTAATTTAGTGCATCAATAATAATAAATGATTTTTCTTTCAGTTCGACCTGTATTCAATTACATGGGGTTCTGATCCGAAGCCATTAGTCAAACTGTTACAGGTAAGTTTTCAATATGCATACGAAGCGAAGTTTTCCCCAAATTTTTCTGAAATCGACAACATACTTCAGTTTTTGAAAAAATGCATAAAACAGTAAATATTTTATTTTATTATGCCGTAAAAGTTTACAAAATTAATGAAATATATATGCGTTACTTACATAGTTTTATAAATTAATATTATCTCAGTATTAAATACAATTTACGAAGGTTTGTATATATTGTACTAAGAAGCTGCCTGCCAAATGGAGGCTATCATTAACCCTAACTTCTATCCTTGTAATTTTCCGTAAAACTTGTTAGAATTTCAGGCTCTACTCTTGAACTCTTGAGCTGCTGGTTCAGTATTGGTTACTGCTGAATTACTGGGCATAAGTGAATCAAACAAGTGTGTATCTAATCATTTTTCTTGAAATCGTAGCTTCTCTTTCCTTCTTTTATTATTTTCCGAATATTATATCCTGTAATAAATTAATTGTCACTTCTGATGAGAGTTTTAAAGTTTGTAATAAAATAAACTATCAAGTTTAAACCCTAATGACGCTGCCGCAATCATTCCTAAATAAAGTTGGAGAAAAACAATTTTAAAATTAATTATGTAAAAATTCTTCTTTTCCTTTCGGACCAAAGTATTTTTCCATTATATGTCTCACGGACTAAATACTAAATTTTTTTTCTGCAATTTTGTATTAAATTTACAATTGGATACAGTAAATTAAATTTATATTTAAAGATATTTGGGCTACCTCATAGAGATTTGTGTTCCTTTAATTTCGAGGGAATGCAAAATGGAAAATACGAGGGTTGGATCTTTAATCGTGGCAACACAGCTGAAAAAACGCTACGCGACAAAACCAAAGAATATCGCGTATACCACACGTAAACTACATACCTACCTTACCTCTCAGCAAAAAGACTCGTCCTGCCTACGTCACGCACATGCGGAGTGACGCGAAGAACGAATCCTTGTATTAGCTCGCGGTCTAAAGTAAGTGTTGTCAGGATGTTTTCAAAACAAGAACAACGATGTTGGATAAAAATTGAATGTGCCAGAGGTCGTACAGCAGTGTCATCAACGGCTTCAGGGGACTTGCGGGGAATCTGCATTGCCTTACAGAACCGTAGCAAGATGGGTGAAAGCATTCAATGAAGGACGCCAAAACGTGGCAGACATGCTGCGGCCAGGTCGTCCGAGTGTCAGCGATGCAGACGCGCAAGCTGTTGCCGCACTAATGAACAGTGATCGCCGCCAAATGATTCGTCAGCTGGCCGGACAAACAGGATTACGACGACTGTGTTGCACATTCTGAAGGAACGCTTGTCCATGAGAAAAATTGCTTCACGATGGGTTCCACATCAATTGACGGACATGCAGAAATGACTACGATACGATGGTGCCCGAACCCACCTGGAGCGCTATGAGCGCGAAGGAGATGCTTTTATACGCCGTATCATTATGCTGGATGAGACTTGGGCCCGATCGTACCAGCCAGAACTGAAGGGTCACCACAACGTTCGAAATTTCGTCAGAACCCCAGCAATGTGAAAGTTATGGTGATTCTCGTGTACGACTGTGATGGTGTCATCCTAACGCATACCGTTCCCCCACAGCAGACCGTCACTGCGCAGTATTACTGCTCATTTTTGGAGCACAATCTCCGACCAGCTTTGAGAAAAAACGGCGACACTTTCTGCAGAACGCTCCTCTCATTTTGCATGACAATGCTCGGCCGCATGCAGCGCAAGTTGTGACTGATTTGTTCAAGCGATGGGGCTGGGCAGTGCTTTACCATCCACCATACTCCCCAGATCTAAGCCCTTGTGATTATGACTTAATTCCTAAGATGAAGGAACCACTTCGTGGCACTCGCTTCCAAACTGTTCCTGAGATTCTTGCGGCAGTAGACCGGTCCATTCAAACTATCAACAAAACAGGTGCTGCTACAGGTATTCTGCGACTTCCACATCGTTGGAAACTGGTTGTACTCAATGCTGGCGACTATATTGAAGGACTGTAAAACATGGTGACACGAATCACTTTTGTATTCCTTGTAAATAAATAGTTGCCACTATTAAAGTTCCAATCCTCGTATTTGTTGTATGAGGCTTACGCAGGGAAGATAATTCATTTCCCAATTCATTTCTTTAAAGATTAGGTTTCCTTCCCCTCTTCATGCATTAATTCAAGGCAGAAAGGCTCTTCCTTTCTGTATATTTATTTCTTATGTTTCTACCGCGAATTTGTAAATTTTCTTTTATTTCGTGTTGCTATTTGCAATTTTTTATTACCCCTGCAAGCCTTGCTTTATATTACGTGTTGCATAAGAATTTTATATATTTTTAAAAAAGGTATTGGCTTTAAACTCTTGTACAGTTTATGTCTTATACTTTTGCTTTTAAGTAGCCCTAGTAAAGAACTGGTGGTAAAGTAAGATTATTAACTGATTACTGTTTAGATTAACCGAAACTTCAGTTGATAGATGCCCCTCTAGCACATTTATTTCATATATAATACTTTTGATAAAAAGATGTGTTAGTTCTCATTCTTATTTCGTAAAGAAATCCTGTTGAAGTAAAAATCCTTTTCATTACATCTTGCTTAAGCAAATCCATATATATATATATATATACTATTATACTATATTACAGAATCTGGCTGGAAATGTCACTGAAGATTCTATCAAGAAGGTAAATGAAAACTTAAATGAAACGTTATCAAAACTCACTGTACCTTTGGGATACTTCTCTAGGTAATTTTTAAATCTTTATAATTCAGTAATGTCCAAATTATTTTCACTATAAAATACAGTAAATTATGCTTATTGTGGCAGCTATTTAGTTATGAACATCTAACGTGCTTTGTTGTAACTGAATAAATCCAATATATTGTTGCGTGATTACAAGTTCGTAATAGATTGAATGCAAACTGCTCTGATGATAGGTTGATAAAATTTATTATATCAAAAGAAACATTTCAGAGTTCTGGAACGTTCCACAGAAATGCTCGTACAGGTGATCACATTAACACAGATTGCAATCAATAGTTACACTTCAAACTATTAAAAAAGTTAAACACAACGCAATGCAAATCGAAGCTAAATGCGAACTAAACCTGAGATAGTACTTCGAACTCACAATGAACTAACAGCTAACAACAACAAAGCAGATGCTCTCTCCCCAGCCTTCGAAATATTTCTAGTACCTTCTGCTTCTTGAAATTACCGGAAGGCAACATGAGGATCGAATTACGGTTACAGCTAATGTAGTGATCAATCACATTTATTCAATTACAATACCTATACCGGTGATATAGGGACCGGACCAAAATGTCGCCAAGTTTGGCGATATCTCGTGAAATTACCGAGATACCCATTTACTCAATGTTATATGGACTTGCCTCTGTATTCTTACTTACATTCTTAAGATCCGGCATAGCTAGGATCTTAAGATTTTTCATGTTATATTATATAAAAGAAATACAACAGTTTTACTTATAATTCCACTAAAATTACCTATCTAAGTACAAAATTCATAACATAAAGGGATTATGCACCTTCGATTCATAATAATAAGTTCGTTGTAGGGAGAAATTCTCATGCTGCGTAGAGAACGATAAGTAATAGAAGGTGGTCAGTATCTTAAACGCTCTTGCAATTATATTTGAAATACTGAATTGCGGTATAAAATGTAATTAACTATATTTGATTATAGTACTTTATACTTTATTTTAATATCTGCTCATAATAGTATTGTACTTGTACGATTTATTTCATGAACAAAATTATTTAAATGAAATCCTTTTTTAATTTTCAGATACTTGCTGAAATTTTTATTACCTGTCAGCCATAGAGCGATCCAAAATCGCGAAAAATCTAAGGTAAACATAAAATTTCTGAAAATAAAACAGAGCCATCTTTCTTTCTTTTTCTCTATCTTTTCATTCATATGTAGGTTTAAAATGAATCCCCATGGCAACTAATTGTTTGGTTAGAAAGAATAATGCAATGCAAAGATTACAACTTCACTCGTGCATTCGAGATTCAGCTTTCATCATTTCAGCATAATTTTTTACGTTTTGAAAACATATGCAAGGATATTTCCACTGTCGCGATGGAGAATTCTACTCCGAGCTAGTGTTTTAGGCTTTCAATGGTGCTGAGTTTGATTTGCCTTATTAGGAAAGTGGGGCAAATTAATTTGAAGCTAACTAGTACATTGCTCACTAACCCAAATTTGTAAACTTAATTGTTTTCTGTTATATTTTAAAACTGCTTAATTTTAGAATCATTAGTTTAATTTCTTTTCCCCTTGTTCGAGCAAAGACCCAGTTTCTCTTTGAAAGTCCTCCACAAAGTTAAATTTTCCCTCTGACACACACAGACAGGCAGAGAAAGAAAGAGGGATATCTTATACTATTTTCACATTCTCGTCAGTAGGCACGAGCCATTTTCAAGGCATCTTTTCCCTTAGACATGCAATCCTCACAATAAGACAGGGCGATGCTTGTGCTTTGCTGTTTTGGGCAAACTAACTAAGCCATATCTCATTCACACACTAAAAGGCGAGATGCAATTGACCAAATAAACTATCATCCACTGCATTTTATTTCGAGCTGCGTAGTAAAATTATTAAGCTTTTAAAGAACAAGCGTTATTAAAACCTTGCTTGTAATTTTGTTGACTATGAACTCTGGACCATTCCATTGCTCAATAAATGCATTCAGCATATTATTACATATTATTATAAAAACATCTGGGATTATTACATATCATTATAAAATTATTACATATTATTAAAATTATTATTATTATTACATATTATTATAAAATTATTATTATTATTACATATTATTATAAAAACATCTGGAAGGAATTCTTTGTGTTCCTTTAAAATTCAACAGAAATCGTTAACTTTAATACTCGTTACTACAGATTTTATCGAAATGCAACCTGTTATTGTAGTTTTAATACAAATTCATTGTTATAAGTCAAGACGCATAGTATAAATTATGTGTATTTATAACCATTAAGAATCATCTGTATTTGAAATCAAGCAGTTTTCTTCTCATTTTTTGTTTTAATTTCTTGTGTTTTTTTGTCTTTATGTCTATAAATTAAAAATAAAGTCATTTGAAAGCATTTTGTCATTCTAAATAACCATGAATTTTAGTTCTGACGCATTTGTTCTAATTTTTAGAACTCTTTTGTTCTTTTCTATGCTATAAAATGAAATAAATACAACTGAAAATATTGGCTTTTAAGAATTATTTCATAGGATACTCACATTTATCACTATAACTTCAAAGATTCGTCATAACTTTATTTTCAGAAATGTTGCTACATTTTGTTTTACATTAAAGAAAAGCACTTCAGCATTTAGTTTAAACTATTTTTTCTAAGAAAACAAATGGAATATATGAAAATTAGTTTCCTGCAGAGAAAATCAGGCCATGTTGTAGTTGTTGTCACGTCTATGATGAAGCCTATTCAAGTAGTGCTGTAGGCGAAGAAGACAGGCCATCTGCAAAATGTTATCATTGCAAAGGTTCAGTCTCTGATATAAAACCCCAGGTTTTTTATAATTCAGCAAAGATGGCTGGACAATTAAACATGTGAGCAGTTGTCAGGTGTGCGTAAGGGCAGTTATTATAGTTATGTGTGTTGGTTTTCTTACTCTCTCTGTCAATTTTCAATTGTGCCAGACTAAAGTTTCAGTTATAAATCAGTCTCTATTGATGTTATGGAACTGGGGCTGTATTCGAACTTAATGTTCCTTCAATCTGTATTTTTCCATGGCATTTGCTCCAAAAGGGTGACATTTACGTTATTATTATTGTTGAGATTTCGAGTCTCTTTTGCCAGCTTATCTACGTTCTAGTTACTGTGATGTTGACATGCGCTTGCAACTATTGAAGAATGAAGACCTTATCTAACTTTTGAATCTCGTTTAAACGAAAGTTTATCCCTTGGTGATCAGGGAGCTTCTATCCGGGATTGCCTGTAGAACTAGCTGCTTTTAAGTCGCAAAAGACAAAGAGTCCTTTTGCTTACTCAGAAATGGAAAGGAATACAAAATTCAGAAATACATGTCAAGAACCTCAGTCTCAGAAGCTCTCAAAAGAAGTTGGAGAGTGTGGCTGCAATGCTAATTTTGTGTTTAAAGTAGTATTGCCTGGAGTAGTCAGAAATACTCCAGAACCTTCATTAGCGATTATTCCATCAGATGAGCGTATGTATACGTATAAGTGTGCATAAAATCCTCCTTTGGATACTGTTCAGCGGTCCTGATCCCCTTCGCTTTCATGGTATCGGTTCCCCCCCCCTTTTTTTTTTTTTTTTTCCATGGCTCTAGTAAGCTGAGTACTACTTTAGAGTTCATAGAACGCCTGAAATAAAATTGTTAGCTATTGGAAGATGGAAATTTTTTGCGATCTAGTCTGATATCTGCTCTGATATGTTGCATAGGGGTTGACCTTTTCAATTGCACAGGAGATGTCCTTTTCAGTCAAGTGATGTGTCTTAAGGCCGTGTCTTAGTGGAAAGATTAAATTACAAATTACGTACATCTCCTGGGGTGCTCTTTCTCAGAACTAGGGGACGTGATCTGAGGTAAAGTTGGGAGTCACATATATGGTATTCAAGGCTCGTGTCAACGATAGGAGCCTTTGACTCCTTGCCACGATGAAAGACGCCGGCTTGTGCTGACCATTGTCAGACAAGTGAGATTGGCAAAAACAATAAATATTTAGTAATATATAGTTTATGAAAACAAAATACACGTTTTGTTCAAGTTTTGGTATTTATCAATATTATCTACAGTTTGTATTGTTTAATTTATAACGTAAGTTAAAAAATAATCTAAATTGAAATTACATTTTTGCATGTATTTTGAGCTTGGAAAAGGATGGGTTAACGATTTCCTAGAAATGGTGAAACGGTGCATGGGGCTAAAAAGGTTGAAAAGTCCTGGTCTAAATGAAAATATCATTAGCAGAGACCGATTCTTGTCCATCTATGGTTGGTATGAGTGTGAGTCTGATAAAGTTCAAGAAAACCTTTTCCGTTTATCATAATAGAATGGAAGAGACAAAAGAGAGAAAAATCGAAATAAATCTTAAAAAACATCTAATTATATCATTTTTTTTCTATGCGTGTGTATGTGTTTCTATTTTTATTAAAGTTTTAATAACCGGAGTGTTGAGGAATTAGTGTGTATTTGGTTGATGTGCTATCTTGACATTGCACTGAAATATCTTTGGGTTATACTGTAGTCACTTATGGTGAAAGGATTTGACGAGTGGAGGAAAGCTTTTCGACATCTTGCAAAATTGATGGTGTCCGAAGGACGTCTTCCTGAAGAAGATCTTCTGTTCTTTATGAGACTAGCTGAGATCAAGGAATTACTGAACACTAGGTCGCCAAAAATAATAGCTAGGTATTTCTTTTGCATTAATATAGTTTCATGTGTTATGATTCATATGTGTATTTTCTCATGACATTTCGAAATTCCCATTTCTTAAAATTTAACTGCAGTGTTTGAAGAATGTTATCCTTTCTATCTCATGATTTTTGCAATTATAAGACTTTTGAAATATTTAGCCATTAATTGAGGTTGAATTAAATATGAAAGTTCAAATAGAAGAATATAAGACTTCAAGATGAACATCATCGTTATCATCAAAATGAAAAGCATAAAGGGAAATTGGAAAAATATACAGTATTTTGGGATAAAAGCAGTCGGTTATTAAGCTCTAACAACAACCAGAACAAGAATTAAGGGGGGGGGGAATTCTCAATCAGTGGATAATTTCCATTCCTTTAAAGCGGAGTCTGATTCTCCCGGGCATCCCCGGCGCAATAATTCCAAGAACCTCAAGGCAAAGATCCCGTGACCGAAGGAAGGTTTAAAAAATATTTAATCTGATCGTCAATAAGTGACGCGATTTAAACGAAACATTTCTTTAGCAATATTTTGAACAGTTATAGGAATTTTTATATTAAATGTGTAAGATTCTCACTAGTGTAATTCTGAGTTACTGTAGAAAGTGACGAATCTTAAGAAGAACAATAAAAGCCGACACTTGGAGTGTACAATAAAAGCCGACACTTGGGCTTGAACTTAGAAGACTAAGAAATAAACTGAAACTAAGATTAACTAAAGAGATATAGACAAAGCTATCAAGATTCTAATCGAGTTGGCCCCTTAACTTTAATTGACTACGAAGCTTATCAAGGACCTGAGTACGGCCGAGCGTAATAACAGCTTTGAGAGAGAGAGTAACTAAAAGGCAGACACACACAAATCAAAAACTCGAATTCTCTCTCACTCAGCAAGTAGAATTCACGGTTTAAATCCTGCTCCTCGTTAAGTATTCAGAGTGATTCCAAAACTACGTTCTGGCCGGAAGTAGTAAGTTGAAGTTAAGAATTTGACAGGAAAGAAGTTTAACTCAAAATTTAACTGTTAATAAAATTAATATAATCCTTACAAATGTAATAAACTTTAAATTTATAAAATACCAAAATGAAAGCTTTAAATTTTCAGTTATTTGAAATACATTCATTTAAATTAATAAATAAATAATTTGCGGGAAGTAATGCTACAAATATGGTAAAGAACTACGGAGTAACCTAAATACTAACATTTTCTAATAGAACTGAATAAATGTAAGCTTTTGTTTTCTGGTTCACATTACTCTTATATTTCGATAAAAGTCAATGTGAAATAAAGAACTGTTATTTTTAAGACCGACTAATTTACTAAATTAATAAATTTATAAATAACGGGAGAATAAAGACCGTTAGAAATGAAGAAACTAGGTTATACATGGCACAAAAGAACAATATTTACAACAGAACTTAAATAATGTTGTTGAAGTCAAACTCACATGCCAGATAATTGGCTATTGCGGATCAAAACAACTCCCATGGGTTACGACATCTTACTGTCACTATTGTTTATCCTGCATGATTTTTTCTTTCCCATCTGAACTTTCAGCCGACACTTTTGTTTGTGATCATAATTTTTCATTGTTCCACAATAAAAAAAACTCAATATTTTATGAAGATAGGATCCGGTTAATTTGCCGCCGGCAAATCAGAAGTTGACTGTAATTCTGATTATTAATTATTTAAGGATTACCTTGTTTGCAATTTTGAGTTATAATAATCTATAACTAAATTAAATTTTATAAACAAAATATCGAAAAATTTTATAAGAAAATAGTTTGGAATGCAATCAATTAGATATCAAGAAGAGATAGATGGGTTGGAGACAAATTAGGAAAAGTTGTAGAGTCATTAGGTATTTTTGAAAGGGGGAAAGATGGAAAATGAGCAACGCCTTCGCCGGAAATCGAACCACGGACCTCTGGAATACGCGCCCAGCGTGCAGACCATCACACTAAGAAGGCGGGAGAAATGCCTTATATTCCTTCCCCTTCTAAAGGGCGACTGGCATTTTTAGGGGACCTAATCGCCAAATCCTGAGCGTGGAGAATCATCATCCACTACCCTTTTATTTCAGGCGCCACTGTAGAAACATTAGTTTTTTTTTTTTTTTTTTTTTTTTTTTTAAAAAGCAGAAAAGATGAAAAATTAGCAACGCCCTCTCCGAGAATCAAACCACGGACTTCTGGAATACGCGTTCAGCGTGCAAGCCATCACACTACGAAAGCACGCTAAGAAGGCGGGAGAAATACCTTATAAAAACAGTGGCAAAACCAATAAGTGCTGAGACTATTTTGTGACTTAAAATTTTGTTGGCACCAGCTGTCGAAGAAGTGTGAATGATGTAGTTCAAGAAACAGATCTAACGTCTTAGCACAGTGGTTATATCTTTAATTCGTTAATAATTTATTTAACTTTAATAAATAGAAACATTTCTAAAATTGTCTGATTATGGCATGTATTTTTATAATTTGTACGTCGTTTCAAATTAAATGAAATATTTCCCCTTCAGGTCCATTCAAAGGCAGAAGCGGTATCCAGTTATGAACAAGTACATTTTTGCTGAAATTATGAAAGGTGTGCCAAAACCTGTAAGTATCTTTAAAACAGGTTTTAAACCTTATATTTGGTTTTGCCTAAAATAACAGTACTCACCATACGAATGGTCCATCATAAGCATTAAAGTTATGCGCCATACGGCTTATAACCAGCAAGGCAAAAGTCCCAGCCGGCTTGTTCATTTTATATCATATAAGTAGTCAGCTTCTGTGACCTTCTAAGTGTTTCTGTGTGACAATTTGTGCGAAATCTCTGCTCTACCAGCCTAATCGACTCACATTTAATAAATTTTAAGGTGCAGTATTCCCTTCATTAGTGAATGCCAGCATTGTATTATACTGCCACTTTGAAGATAAATTTACAATTACGTAATATAGCTTTTTTAGTAGACTTGGAGAAATTTATTATGTAATGCTTTGAATTTTTCAGTCGCACACTGAAGTGCCGCGCAGTTGGGGATACCTGACTAGTAAAGAATTCACTGCTTCTTTTCCCTCAACAACAGTTTCACGCTGTGAGGCTTGCATTCAACAAGTCTACGAAAATTTTTTAGTCTAGGACATCTATGGAACTCCTAGTAGGCGTGAGGCAAAGTTTGCCAGGCTCTTACTTGGACGTCCCACAAATCAGTTAAGGATGTAGGTGATGGATGATGTCCTTGCAGATTTTTTTCATAACTACCTTTAAGGCATTTTTAAAACTAAGTAAAAACCAGCCTTAATTTAACGCTGATTTTGAATTGACGCCAAAAAAAGTTTAATTCATTGACTAATTATAAATTCCATTTTGGAATGTTTATTTTCCAACTTCATGTCCCAACTATGTTCTGCAGAAGGAAGAATTCAGTGGAATGCTCCTCGAACCTGGTGGTTGTCAACACGGGATCTGTGAAAGAAGCAGTTTCCCTATTATTGTACTCCATTTTTACCCGAATGGCTGCAAAGCATGAAAACATGTAATTGAGAGAACGCAAAGTTAGAAAGCTGTGAATGTGCTTGTGAGAATCTTATGTCAGTACGTGTTTAGTGATGAGATGCTTAGAACTGAGACGTTGAGTATCAGCTGATGGGCATAGTCAGGACAATGGGAAAAGAATCATTAGCTGTCATTTTACCTAGGTTTGAATGAGTTAAATCTGTATGTCTACAGTTTCAATGCTTATTTTGACTAGCATCACGGATTAAAATTTACTATCTTCTGATCTGGAAGTCTCAAATGTAGTTGTAGGTTTAATTGCTCAGACTTATCTTCTTTCTGTATCCTACACGGTTTCTTACGCATTGTAAATGGCATATAGAACTAAATTTAATAGTATATCTGTTATTTCACAAATAAAACCATAACCATACTTTGCTGTTATCATTTTGCAAAACAAACGATCAGCGTTGTTTAGATTTTTCTTTCTCATTTCAAATATTTCATTATTTCAAATTTCAGAAAACGAAGTTAAACAGCATTTTAATTTTCACATTTATTATCATATGAATATTACGAATTACGAAACTATGCTGGAATATAACTTCGAATGTCTGCCTGCTAACAAGATTGTCTCTACTTTTTAAAAAGTTCGCTCTGTATACACTGAAGCTTCATAACATCATATACGAACATATGATGTTATCTATATACGGACACTCTCTGTATGTATAACATAACATAACATTAGTGGCGCTTCCTCCTTAAGAAAAGAAGGAAAAGAGCTTAGGCAATATTGCCCATTGCTCTTCCGCTATTTGATCATTTACATCAAAGGATTTAAATGGTAACTCCCGTGAAAGGTAAATAATAAATAAATAGATAAGATCCCAAACTGACACCAAATATATAGTATCAGCAAAGATCCCATCTCTAAATTCAGGGTGTCGGTTAAATTGTGAAAACTTCCCGATTGGATGAAGAGCCGATTCAATCCCTCCCAAACCACCAAACGCAAACTCTTGACCAAACAAGGGTGCGATAGCGAATAAATAAGGAGGTGCTTTCTCAAGCCAAATGGCCAGGTGGTGTATAAAGATTTGATATCTATTTCCAAGTTATATTCCAAAACACAGCTATGAGAGAGAAATCCTTGCATAGTTTCTTTTACAAGGAAAAAAAGAAAAAAAAAACTCACAGGGCGTCTCAATGCTTGTTTCTTGTGGTTTCAAATTCACCTTACCTGTAGGTGTTTAGTATACATCAGAAACACTATTATATTATGCCAGAGAGCCTCTTTGTATTATAGAAGGGCTTGATCAAAGCTAATATAGGGAAACCCAAGGAATTTGTTTCTAGGGACAGAAAACACCGGACATCGTCCCAGAAAGTGAAAAGGTGTTTCCCCTTCTTCTCCACAAGCTGGGGAGAGAGGAGATTCGACAAGACCACATTTGTGGAGATGCTTGGCCAGATAAGCATGTCCGGTAACAAGTTGAATTACCTGGCGTAAGTTAGTTTTACTGAGGTGTATGAGTTTACCTGATAAGTTAAGTGTACTGAGCACCAATTTAGAATGAGCACAGTCTGGTAGTTTAGACCATATATCGTCGTGTTTGTTCTTTATCCAGCTTCTTACTTCTTTTTTAACAGTTTGATATGAAACTGGGTAAAATGGTTCTGGGCCAGACATGGGTAGTTGCGAAGCATCTTTAGCTGCTTTGTCAGCAAGTTCATTTCCAGCAAAATCACAATGACCTGGGACCCAGACTAAACTAATGGTATTATGGGCCTGAGACAGAGAATTGAGATCTTGCTCTGTATGTATACTCGGACTTCATAACATTCATTCATCATATATACGGACTTAGATGAAAATTTGTATATAAATCTTAGTCTGCAATTCTGCTTCAGCTTCCTTCCGCGTAACTTGTTTTCTCTACGTATCATATTCATCTTTATCTTCTCCCTGCTTCTCATTATCTCTCTCCTTTCTCATTCTACTGCCAATTATTTAGCAGTCATCTTGAGAAACTGAGGCGAGAGCCAAACTGTCTACATCCATTCACTAGCAATAACCTCACTTAAAATAAATATGTAAGTAAATCCAAGTTATCTGTCACGAAAGCCGGACGCGTTTTAAAGACAAAAAAAAAAAAAAAAAATGTTTGTTATTCAACTCGTCATCTACGAACATGATCGTAGGCCACAATTTACATCAACAGCATTTAGTGCTTAAATTGCTCCGGTACTTCTCAATTTTTAAGATAAATTACAATTCTAGCCGGAGCGCACCGGAGCCCTAAATAAGATGAACTCCGGTACTTCTTTTTATAAAACTGAACCGCAATTTAAAGGGAAAAAAATTAGAATTCCTAACATTTTTAGTTAACAATAAGCAGACCTTGCAATACTCTATTTCCCTAGAAATACGAACTCATGAGAACATGAGACGTTCAAGTAAAATCCCCTCACTCGCATGCGGAAACCTTTCTCTTTAAGAAGGGCAATAAATTTGGGGCATTTTGTTTAGGAACGCGTAAATTTCTCGCCATGCCATTTTATCTAGTGTATTGTTATCGATGGGTACAGTTAGTTATCGTGGCAGGAAGGGAAATTTGTGTTCTTATGTGACAACGAGTATAATAAGAGGGAAATACTGAGATAAACTGCTCAAGCACGTCCAATACTATCGTCTTCGCACAGTATCCGCTAACGTAACCAAATACGGGGGGGGGGACAAAAGTGTAACCGGCAACTTTACTTTCATTCTTAGGAGTCATTTTACCCCTGATACACATTCGCTTGATGGCTATAATTATATCAGCAGTGTTCAAAGAGAACGCTCTCTCTCACCAAGATTTCTCTCAATTCTTTTGTTTCCACCCACTCATTCCCTCACGCCCTCATTCTTTTCACCCTATTTCTAGCATTATCTGAATTTTCATCAGCTATACTTTAAGCATATTTAACTCCCTCCCCCCAACGATCCCTTGAAATTGTGCATCATATTGTATAGAAAATAGGTTTTTTTTCTCCAACTCGACTTTTGGAGGATTAGACTAATGCATGAAAACGAAAACGAGACGTACGAGACAATATGTAGTATATTTTGCATTACTTTATTAATACAGTATGTAATATAGTGCAGCCTCACTTTACTTATTATTATATAATAAGTAAAGTAGTATACTTTATTATTATATAATTTATCAATTAAATATGATCCTATTTACATAATCTGCACGAATATCCAGTATTATGTATAATATTCGCTATTATCCGCGGTTTTACGTATCTGTGGTAAACCTTGGAACATACTACACGCGAATACAGAGTCACTATGTATAAGTTGTTTCATTTTAAATAAAATGACATAATATGTCATATAATGACATAATGGCATAACATATAATGACAGAAAATGTCATAATTTCAAGTTACTGAAGCCATTGTTTAAATATTATATTATTGCAAAATCACGTCGTTTTCTGAAGAATCGTTTTATATAACAATACAGTAGGATTTAAAGTCTACCCACACACACACAATAAAAAATTATTTTAACAACTTGTTACATATACAACTATACTGATATTGCGTTCGTGGTTTATTATCTTAAATAATATTGTAGAGACATTAGATATATTTCGAGCGACATTAGGTTATTATATATCTTAAAGAGAAATATAACTTTTGAGCTTTCTAGCCCAAAAGGCTATTAATTTCGTTTTGGCATTTTGCGTCGAAAAATTTAAAAGTCTGAATAACTTTTCATATTGCTGCCACCAAATATTATCGCCCTGTATTATATTTTAGGGCACTGAGTTTAGTTTTACATTAGTTTTTATGATATTTTAAGAAATTAAATAATGAAGAATCCGCATAAATGTATACATATTTCTCGCATTGTGATAAAACAAAGGTACCTAGAGCCATCCAATTTTCAATGGTGCACATATCCACCCAAATATGGAATTTGGAAGCCCAAAGTTGGAATTTGTTTTATTATCTATTTCATATTTTGTAAAGCCTATATGAGTTTTTGATTAGGAAACTCGACAATTTCAAAGCCAGGAATGGCAACCCCGCCCCAAAAATAATAAATAAATACATT